ACTGATTCGATTAGCTGTTTGTATTAAAATGTTTGGTAAAACAACTGTTTGATATTAGTTGTTTATACGTAAAATGACAATCGAGGACAATTCTATTTTATTCTTATTTCTAATATATTCAATTATGTTCTTTTGAGTTTAGAATATTTAAAATTTTTTGTTATTAGTTATTGATAATTGTAAAAGTGTTATAAAAATTTTTATTTTTATTACAGTTAAATTTAAAAAATAATGTATTTTTATTAAAATATATAAATAGTTTTTTTTATTGAAAATGATGTAAAATATAAAATAATAAATTTTTCGTGATAATGTTTATTTTAATAAAAAAAAAATTATTAATATTTATATTTTTTATTTTATGTTGATTTTAATAAATTTATATATTTTACAATTAAAATAATTTTTATATAAAAAATAATTATTTTAAATTTATAAAAGTAAAACTATAACATAATAAAATATTCTAATATAATTAATAAATAATCAAAATATATTTATTAGTGTAAAATGTATAATAAATTTTTAAAGGCATATAAAGAATAAAAAAATTTACTGAAAAAGCTATTTCAAAACGTTGGATAAGTTAGCTTTTCATAAATTAGCTTTTTGGGTCCAAAAAGCTATTCCAAAAAGCTAATTTACCAAACACCTAAATTAGCTTTTTGACTGGTCAAATAGCTAAAAGCTCTTCAAAAAACTATTTGCCAAACACCCCCTTAATTCCGTACTGCTTACCTTTTATCGACACTCCCTAACTTTTGCAATCTCACTCAAATCTCCTTCAACGTACACCTGCCTCATTATTTACTCAAATCTGATAAGCTATATGCTTATTCAAAAGCTAATTTCTATAATTAGCTCGTTAGGTTTCAAACTTTTATATTTGATAGAATATGATATTCTAGCTACAATACCCTTGTACCTCATAATATTTATATTTTCCGATTATTAAATAAAAATACTGAAAGATATGAATAAAAGGTGCAGTACACTGCCATTTTTAATTCGATTTGGATCGATGCGAAATTCTCATAATATAACACTAGGACTACAGATAGGCTATTAGCTAAAGAATTTCGTCGATTAAATAGTCAAATAGTCAGTTATGAATTTTTGAAAAATTTCTAATTTAATATCTTCAATATCTAACTTCATATTAAAATTCATAATTAAACTCTACATGCAATAAAAATAAAATAAAATACCAAAATTAAAATTAACATCAAACGACTAAATTTTTTTTTTCTTCCATTCTTCCTCATCTTTTCTTTCTCCTGCGGACGTCTGCTTATGCCTTTCTTTTCTTTACAAATGGGTTTGCTTGATTTGTTTTATATATATATATATATATATAATTATATTATTATTATATATATTATATTATATTATTATTATTAATAGTAGTATTATTATTATTATTATATCTTCATCGTTGTCATCTTCAATATTATTATTATATTATTATATTATACATATTATATTTTATGTTTATCCTTATTGATGTTTATTCGTTTAACTGTCTTTATGATTATTATCAATATTTAAAATAAGAATAAAATTTATTTGAAAATATTAATTTATTGATCCCAAAATATTATAAAAATATTTATTTGTCGTAATAATATTATTTTATACACTCCAAAATCGGGGCATTATAATTAATATCACAATAATGATTACACATTTCTATAGAGAATATATTATTAAGATTGAAATAACTAGCAACACTGTCTAAAACGTATATTATCAATATTTTAATGAGAATATATTTCATAAAGAATACAGTCTAAACGTATATTATCAATATTTTAATGAGAATATATTTCGTAAAGAATGTATTTTCAAAATCGTAAATAATGACAACATATTTTAAAAAATATAAGGTAAGGAATAAAGTTTATGCTTACGATATAAGCAATGACATTATAATATGATGGTAGTAATTACATGTATATATATATCTTCAAAGTTTTGAGCTTGTAGGATTGTAAGGCTTGGGTCATTTCATCTTTATATATATATTTTTCATCTCGATTTGTTGTATTAAGTTGAAAATTTAATCTTGAAATTTACAAGCTTGATTTTGAATAATTAATCTAATTTGTAGAGATAATATTATGTGCAGAGCGGATCGTGAGCGGGTTTACTGGGCACAGCCCACTCTTGTATGGGCGCCCATTTCATAATATAGATATGCATATAATCTTTTATATATATTTGAGCTCATTGTGGCCCCTACCACCCCACCACAATATAAAGTAAGAATTTTTAAGGGGGTGTTTGTTTGGAGGATTGGATTTAAATCCAACTATTCATCCAATTTTTTCCCCCCAAAAATATCAAATCAAACACCTATTTTTTATTTTTTATATTATACTAAAAATCAATTTTACATTCAAAACATCACGGCAATACCTATTTATATCACATCATACAACTATTCAAATTTAAAATTTTTACTATTCAAATCTCAATCTAAAATCCAAACCCCTAAACAAACACACCCTAAGAGTTTTGAGTTTCTTTTAAAAAAAATTGATTGCGGGAAAGATTTGATTAGTTATGAATTTTCAATAATTTTGATTTTTTCTTTAAAAAAATTCATTGGTTATTAAATTTGATTGGCTATTACATAAATATGGACCGATATATATTTTTTATGTCATAATATAATATATGTATATATTTTATATTTTTATTTTAATATATATATATATATATACACACGAAGGATTTAAAATAAGAGTATAATTTTAATTTTTAATAAATTTTTATACTTATATATATTAATAAAGGTGCAATTTAAATATAAAAATTATTTTTTAGTAATTATTTATTTTTATTGATTATTTGATAGAATCATTTTTTATTAATAAACTTAAATATTTTTTAAAATTAAATTTATTATTTATTTTGATTTTTTTTTAATTTTTACCAATTTATTTTTGTTATTAATTGATCATTAAAATATTTTAAGACATATTATTAATATTTCTCATAATATGCCATTATTGTTTAATTAGTATTAAATGCATACTATATATATATACATGACATATATAGTTACGATGCATTATATTTATTTTATTATCTAATTAATTTATTTAATAAATACATTTTGTTCAAATATGATATTAAATTCAATAATTTTATTAATTGCTATTTAAATTTTATAAGTGTTTTAATTCATATCACTTATCTTTCTTTAATCGTAGGAGCGATTTTTCATCTACCCAATGAGACTGCTTATTTTTCCAATATGTCCTCATCTTCCCTCAATTAGAATTTGTCTTCAATTTATTAAGTGTTTGTTTTGGCGATTGGATTGGATTTACTTCATCCAATTTTCTTTCTCAAAAATATCAAATCAAACACCTACTTTTCATTTTTTATATTATACTAAAAATCAATTTTACATTCAAAATATCACATCAACGCCTATTTATATCACATTATACAACTATTCAAATTCAAATTTTTTACTATTCAAATCCTAACTCAAAATCCAAACCCCAAACAAACACACCCTAAAGAATGTATGAAGAAGTTAGTAGAAAATGTTACTTCCTCCGTCCCAAACACCCTGCAACATTTCTTTTTTTGTTTGTCCCAAATTCACTGCAACATTTCCAAATTTAGAAATAATTAATAATATTTATATACATATATTAATATATACCTCACTTTATCCCATCACATCACTCAAATAAAAAAACAAATAATTATTTCTCTCTCCAATCACATCATTTAATATCCAAATTATCTCAAATTACCGTACTTAATATTCTCCACCTAAATTTCTGTGCCGGAGGGAGTACTTTCTTTCTGGATGTGTTTGTTTGGGGGTTCGAATTTTGAGTTGGGATTTGAATAGTAAAAATTTTGAATTTGAATAGTTGTATGATGTAATATAATTAGGTGTTGATGTGATATTTTAAATGTAAAATTGATTTTTAGTATAATATAAAAAATAAAAAATATATATTTGATTTGATGTTTTTGGGGAGAAAATGAATAAACAGTGGAATTAAAATCCAATCCCCCAAACAAACACACAACATTTATTTTTTTTGCAACAGTTACAACGCTATACTACATCACCCAGGGCAGAGATGGAGAAGAAAGAAATTGAAGATGGAAGAGGACGCAGCTATGAAAATTAGAACCAAACCGTGATTATTTTTAAAAGGTTTTTACGAAATTTTTTATGCAGATTTTGAAAATTATAATTATAAAAATTCTACGGTTATACTTTAGAAATAAATAAGCTTCTGCTTGCACAGTTTTACTTTCTGGTTGCACAGTTTTATTTTGGCAGATACTTAAAAATGAATCCATCCATAAGGCCATGCCAGAAAATCTCCATTTACAATTCTTCCAGAAGATGCTGCTAACTGAAGAAAAAAAAAAAAAAGAGTAAAAGAAAAATAAAAATCGAATGGACATTTCACTGTCTTGCGGGAGTAGACCTCATCTTCGGGTGAAAGGTGGCAGCACAACTGACTGAGAAATGTGAAATAAGAGGAGAAGGAGAAAGAGAGAAGAGGAAGTAAGAAGAAGAAAAGAGTGGGAGAGAGAGGTGACGCGGGCGAATAGGGTTTAAGATAGGGTTTGTTTACTTATTTTTGCAGTAATATGTTATTTAATTGTATTTATTTTTTTTATTGTAAAAAGTTAATATATTTACTTCAAAAAATTTTATGTGATATTTACTTTAACAACAAAATTATTTATTTATTTATTTTATATAATTTGAGTTCATTTTAAATTATATTTTCTCCGTCTATTTAATAAGTTTACATTTAGTTTTTGCGTTATTGTACTTAACATTAAAAATATGTTTATATTTGTATAACTTTTTGTATAAATATCATTCTATTAGTGTTACGTATGAAATTTAGAATTAGGTTAAAAAGCCCAAGGTAAAAGAAGAATGGGTCTGACATTAGAGTTGGTTGAACTGGCTCAAGGAAAATAGGTTTATTTCTAAGGAAAGTCCTCAGGACGGAAAGACCTCAGGTCGGAAGGTCTTCAGGTCGGGAGGTCCTCAAGACGGAAAGTCCTCAGGACGGAAAGACCTCAGGTCGGAAGGTCTTCAGGTCGGGAGGTCCTCAAGACGGAAAGTCCTCAGGACGGAAAGACCTCAGGTCGGAAGGTCTTCAGGTCGGAAAGTCCTCAGGACGGAAAGACCTCAGGTCGGAAGATCTTCAGGTCGGTAGGTCCTCAAGACGGAAAGTCCTCAGGACGGAAGGACCTTAGGTCGGTAGGTCCTCAAGACGGAAAGACCTCAGGTCGGAAGGTCTTCAGGTCGGGAGGTCCTCAAGACGGAAAGTCATCAGGACGGGAAGTCCGCAGGTCGGGAGGCCCTCAGGACGGGAAGTCCGCAGGTCGGGAGGCCCTCAAGACGGAAAGTCATCAGGACGGGAAGTCCGCAGGTCGGGAGGCCCTCAGGACGGGAAGTCCGCAGGTCGGGAGGCCCTCAGGTCGGGAAGTTCTCAGGTCGGAACTCTGCGGCAGGGCCAACAAATCGGATGGTTTGTTAGTCGGGATGTCTGTAGCTAATCCAAACAAGTCAGATGGTTTGCAAGTCGGGAGGATTGGCAGTCGGACCAATACGGTTGTAGATTGGCAGTCGGGCCTAAAGGGCGGAAGGTATGTGGTCGGCTCAAAGAGTGAAATATAGGGATAATTTTGGTCTGCTGAGGACACGTGTCAGCAGGAGAAGGGTTGGAAGACGGTTGGGAAGGAGACGTTGTAACCGTTCGGGTGACGGTTTTCAGTACGGTTTCCCAGAGAATATTTAAGGGTTTGGATAATCATTTGGCAGGGCATCTTCAATCAACTTCAACAAAGCAAAGTCAGATTTGGGGATCACCACTTTAAATTTCAGTCTTTTATTTTCCAGTTTATTTTCTGTACCATACAGTGTTTAGAGATTCCTAATCTCAGGCACTAATTAATCAAGTTTAAGGATATTTTCTATATCTTTGAATTTTACTTTATTTTTGTTGAAAAATCACATCAACAAATTGGCGACCATAGTGGGAGCAAGACACAATTGCTCATTCCAATTCCGGCGATAATTTCATACGTCTTAGATCCGGCCGAATCATCGGAAGGGTCCATATGGCAGGTTCACAACCACAATCATCTTCGGCACCGGCGGGAGAATCCGTTCCACCACCTATTGTGCCAAATGCCGGGGAAAATCCACAACCACCAACTGATTGGAGGTCTTATGTTCAACATATGAACAACCAGCAAACTTTGGTTATGCAGAACATGTTGCGTGAGCAACAGAATCTGATGCAGAACATGTTAGATCAAGCACTGTCAAGGGTTAGTCTTCAACCCACTCAAACTCCACCAGGAGTATCACCGTCCAGACTACAGACAAATTTCGCAGGGCCATCATTCGTGGATAGTGCGTTTCCAAGTGCTACAAATCCCAACCGAACGGATAGGGGAAAATCTCCTCTGACGTTTCCCAACACTGTTCCGCTGGGACCAAGGGTTTCCAGTCCGCAGCCGAACAATACAAGGGAGGACAGGCCTGGAGGATATATACATGATCCTATTCATATTCCTGTGCAGGATCCGTTCCATGTTCCTGATCAGCAACGCTTTCATGTAGATCCTGATGAGATTGCACATATATTAAGGGATCAGTTTGGGCTAACTCCTCAGATGACTAACCGTCCTGCATATCAGAGACCTTTCCCAGAAAGGATCATTAATGAACACCCCCTCCCAAGGAATTATCGACCACCCGATTTTCATGCATTCTCAGGGGAGGACGGATCTTCCACCATAGAACATGTTGGTCGGTTCACAGCACAATTAGGAGAAGTTGGCAATAACCCTTTTTATAAGTTGCAGCTGTTTGGTTTATCTCTTACTAGAACAGCGTTTTCGTGGTTTGCAAGTCTGCCTCCTGGACAAATTCAGACATGGGAAGGACTGGAGATGGCATTTCATGCCAGATTCTTCAATCCTCTACCAATTGTTTCTTTAACTGATTTACTAGAATTGAGACAGTATCCAGAAGAATCTGCTTCACAGTTTATAGAAAGGGTGCGATTGATGAAGGGGCGATGTCCTACAGTAATCAGTGAGAAAGAGATGACCAATTTAGTGGTCCGGAATATGCATACTCGCTTAAGAAAGGCGCTCACTGCACTGGATGTTGAGGATTTGGCAAGTCTTGCATCTAAGGCTGGGCGTTTAGAGTCTTTGTTCAGAGAGGAAGATCAGAATAACAGGCGTAATAGAGGCCAACATATGGCGAGTATGGGAACAGAAACAGGTGACTTTGACTTTAATCAGTCAGAAGAGATGGCAGCTGAAATCCTCTCTGGAAAACCTTATGTATGCCCCAAATTGAAGCCAGTACCAGGGTCTGAAGGAAAGGATCAACCGACGTTTGATAGTTCAAAAGCTGACGAAATCTTTGATATCCTGTTGACTGATGGACAGATCCGTATTCCAAAGGGGCAAAGATTGGCCACTAAAGAAGAAATCAAAGGGAGACCATATTGTAAGTGGCATAATTCTTTCACACACAATACAAGTCAGTGTACTCATTTCAGGAAGGAAATTCAAAAGGCCATCAAGACAGGTCGGCTCAAATACATCACTCTAGGTGTAGACCAGCAACCGTTTCCGAAAGTAACAACGGCAATGGTTGACATCCAACCAAGTTCGGAAACAGGGAAAAGTTCGGCCAATAGTGGACAAACAGGGGGACGAACTCAGGCAAGCCCCGGAACAAAGAAAGGAAATCAGACAAACAGTAGCCGACCGGAAGAACGACTCAAAGTTTGTGAAAAGCCAGTCGCTGAAAAATGGGACCATCCAGACGGTTCTTTTAATGTGGAGGTGAAAGAAAAGGTTTTAGTGCGTGACCACCCGACCAGAAAAACAGGGTCAGTCGGGAACAATTGGGCTCGAAATAAAAAGCCTTTACCAGTTGATATAGACCCTCGTTTCCCAGGTATGAATCGTACACAGATTCGCAATGCCAAACGCAGGTATGCTGCGAAGTATGGGAAACGAGTTCCTTCAGCAAAACAACTAACCGACGAGCAAAACGCAGCCGACTGCTTGGCAGGAGATCAGTCCATTCGGGTCTTTACAGAACAAACAACCAACGAGCAGGGAGCAGCCATGCAATCTCCAAAAAGTCGGTCCAGTCGGGTCTGTTCAAGAAAGCAAACGAACGACGGATTAGACGCTTCAGATTATACCAAAGGAAGTTCGTCGGGACAGAGGAAAGGTAAAGGAATATCAGATGAAATAATTAGAGGTTTTAGATGCCAACATTGTGAACGGATCAACATCAATCCATCTCCTGAGGAATTCCGTATAGAATCTCTGACGGTTCAATCTCAGAATAAGACAAAGGAAGAAGTTGTAACTACAGAGGAAAATTCGAGATCTGTTAAATCTCGTCTGGGGCCACGAATCCCTTGTCGAATGACAGAGGTTAATCAGATGAGAGATGAACCGATGTGGGCGAGTCTGGTAGATGATACTATGGACGAACCTTTATGGGCATTCTTGGCAAATGATGAATTAGAGGAAACACAGTGGGCAAATACTTCAGATTCCGAGTCTCAGTCGGAGACACCTTCGATAGTGTTTCCTCCTATTCCAGAGGGTGCGATCTCCCATTTGAAACCTTTGTATGTTAATGCTCACATTTGCGGGAAACCAATCACGAAGGTTTTTGTGGATAATGGAGCAGTCTTTAATGTTATGCCATTGAAGACTCTCAAGAAGCTAGGGAAAGGAATTCATGATCTGTCTCCTGTGGAATTCGAAATGACAAGCTTTACGGGGCAGCCGACCAAGCCTGAAGGTATGATGGTTGCCACAATTGAAGTCGGACCAAAAAAGATCTCCACTGTTTTCTTTATTGTGGACGCAGATACTACATACTCTCTCTTACTGGGAAGAGACTGGATTCATGCTTCTCAATGTGTGCCATCAACACTGCACCAACAGTTAATGTTCTGGGAAGGAAATCAGGTCTTCAAAATGGAAGCAAATGACAACCCATTCGATGTATCAGAACAAGTTGAAGAGTCAGTGTTTTATTCCAGTCATTTGGCTCCGATGTCTCAGTTGTATATGGCCAGGGAATACCCAAACAAGGGTTATAAAGTCACTGGCCAGAACTCGATGTTCTATTAAAAGAACAACTTTATTGTATGGCTCATGATAAAGCCACACCTATTCTCGTATAATTTGTTTGTTATGGGTGATACAAGTTTAGAAGTATGTAGTTCTCTTATTAATAAGTTCTATTTAAAGCAGTTATTACATAAAGCAGAAAATAGCAAGGAGATTCTTGATGTTCACCTCCAAGAAGATGAACAATTTCGTTGGCCTGATTTATTAGAAAAAACAGAACCAACAGCTTCATCACAAGACCCATTATTGGAGTTTAATTTAGGAACCGAATTGGTTCCAAAAGTGATTAGGCTAAGTGGTTATTTGTCTAAAGAGCAACAGACAATGATGCTCGAAGTTATTAGAAACAACATTGATTGTTTAGCATGGGATTATTCAGAAATGCCTGGTTTGACAAGAAGTCTAATAGAGCATCGATTGCCTATCAAGGAAGGTTGCAAACCTTACAAATAACCTCCAAGGCGAATGAGCCCGGATCTGATGCCTCAAATCAAGGAAGAAATCCAAAAACTTCTCAAAGTGGGTTTCATTCAGCCTTGCCGTTATGCGGAGTGGCTGGCTAACATTGTGCCAGTGGTCAAGAAAAATGGTAAGATAAGGATATGCATCGATTTCAGGGATTTGAATCTAGCTACCCCTAAGGACGAATATGTGATGCCTATGGCCGACATGTTGATAGATGCAGCAGCAGGGCATAAAGTCCTTAGTCTGATGGATGGTTATGCAGGTTATAACCAAATATTTCTGGCAGAAGAAGACATTCCTAAGACAGCATTCAGGTGCCCAGGGGCTTTAGGTATTTATGAATGGACAGTCATGCCATTCGGGTTAAAGAATGCAGGGGCAACTTACCAAAGAGCCATGAATTCAATTTTTCATGATTTAATTGGCAAATCTATGGAAGTTTATATTGATGATGTTATTGTTAAATCTTCCAGTTTTGACGAACATTTGAGAAATCTGGAAGAGGCATTCGAAAGAATGAAGAAATACAAGTTGAAGATGAATCCAACCAAATGTGCTTTTGGAATATCAGCCGGGAGCTTTTTAGGATTTTTAGTTCATGAGAGAGGAATTGAAATCGATGCCAATAAGGCTAAAGCCATTCTTGACAGTCGGCCACCCAAGACGGTTAAAGAAATCCAAAGTCTTTTGGGTAAGGTGAACTATTTGAGGCGTTTCATTTCTAATGCTGCTGGCAAGGTCAGACCCATTACTAAATTGTTGAAAGCTGGAAAAAATGCTTTCGAATGGGGTCCCGATCAACAGACGGCTTTAGATGCTATCAAGCAGGCATTGGTTCACCCTCCAGTCTTGATGCCTCCTAAACAAGGTCGGCCGCTCAAACTTTATTTGGCAAATACATATGAAGTGGTTAGCTGTTTATTGGCACAGGATGGTGATGACGGGAAGGAAAGGGCAATCTACTATCTCAGTAAAACCCTTACAGGACCAGAATTGAATTACACTATGCCAGAAAAAATGTGTTATTCATTGGTCTTCGCTTGCACTAAACTCGAGCATTATTTGCTGCCCAGAAGAATTGAGGTCATATCAAAGGTGGATCTCATCAAATTGATTTTGCAGAGACCTACTATGAAGGGCAGACTCATGAAGTGGGCCA